CAATGCACTGCGGCACATGTGGGCTTTCTGTGGTTCTACTTGTTTCGCTTGGCGATAACCTGCAGCACACAGACCGAGGCCCCGGTTTATGGGTTCATGGCAGTTTGACTCGCACTAATCCAGCACTATAGCAAGGTAAGGCAATGCATGATCACACTGGCACTGTGTGGATTGGGGGGAGCAGTGCATTGATCTAGCTTTACTGAGTCACCCTATTAACCTACCTGTTAATTTACTTTATGCCATTTGGGGCTCAGTTTGGTACAGGTACATCGGGCCAGTGGTGAAGAACCGCACGTCCGAACAGCTGGTGTTTAAATGAAGAGCTGGGTGGAGGCCTACAGTACTAATGGGATCTCAGACTTTTGCATTACCACATTTATGAGCCAATTAGCAGCACTAGTCATTCAATTAAGTGTTATCTGACTGTGTTGATTGTAATGCTCTGTAAGTGTAAGGCAAGCCTGATGGGACATTTTTACAAAGTGAAACCATTCTTATCCCAAAAGTGATACAGGTGGGACAGGTAAGCTTGGAAACAGACCAAAATCAATGTAAATTTACAATGATTTACCAGATTCTCATAACATACTGTGGCACTTTTCCAACACGCTGCTTTACAGTATCTGAGTGTGTTTACATTGCCGCTTACATCCCGTTTCGAAGGCGCTGTTAAACCTTTGCTCCAGATACATTTGCTACAATATGTTGTTAGCCTGCAAGTTGCTCTGATCCTATTTGCTGCCCATTTACTGTACGTCCAAGGCTACCGTCAAGCTCCGTGCCTTTGGTTGGTTCACCTCCGTGTTACTTTATGCTGCTGCACTAGAGTGACCTTTGTAAAAGTGCTGCTGAACATTTTTCTTTGAATTTTGTGTAGGTGATGACTTTCATTATACCCAAGATGTTTAATTTCAGAGGCTCCAGAGGTGTTTGTGTCAGCAGAGCAGCAGATTGTATCAGTGGGTGAGCGTGTATCTGTGTCGTGCAACGTCTCTGGCCATCCTCGGCCTGAGCTACACTGGCTCAACAAGCATAGTAGACGCACGCTGGTAAGAGCGTACGGACCGATAAATGCACACATACAACTACACAAACTGACTTTCATGCTGCAAAACCTTTTAAATTAGGCACCTCTTTGCCATGCAGAGTTAATGTGATTGTGCAGTAGCTGTAATCTATGGCTCAACAAACAACACTCCAGTCAGCCTCTTGTAACTGTGACTGACAAATTTACTGTGTTGTTCCAAACAGTGGGTGTTTGCATTTACAGCAAAAATTGTGTGATTAAAGTTATGTCATGAAAATTATTAAGTATGTTTTAAACTGTGTTTTAATCAATGTATTAACCAAGGTGTGTTATTCAATTAATTTTAACCTTTCAGAACAGACTACAGATCACAGGGACCTGTGAGACGCTGCTTGTGTGAACGGAAGGACATGTTCTATCTCTGTTTTAGTTTCCCGTTTAGGGGTCGCTACAGCGAATCGTCACACTGACGACTCGCATGTTGACATTTGGCACGTATTTTACGCCGGATTCCCTTCCTGACGCAACCTGGATTCGAACCCTTAACCACTAGCCTACCAGGGACGTCTATTGTACAAGTAACACTGCATATTTCGAAACACAGACACATATGAATAATGTTTTATTTGTTAAACCACTGCGTAAAAGGCACTGCACAGGAACCTCTGTGTTTTTGTAACCAAAAAGTACCAAAAATATAAGAACAATTAGTATTTGAATCCAATTCAAAAGTCCTAACACACTATTAGCTGTACAGTGACACTGTGTGCCAATATTTGCTTGCTGTTGCTTTAAACACAAAGGCATACTTTTTTTTTATGTTCACATTTTCAATTAAAAGAAAAAACATGCTAAAAATGCTAGATGACACATATTATATCTCATATTGCAACTTAGCCCTAAATAACATTATACAGGTGGCAGACCGCTTTCCAAAAATAGCAACTTCAAACACAGTGCAGTACTTTGCAAGTGTTTCAGTTGTTTATTTAGGAATCCTTGACATCCCTGGCATTCACTCAATGACATTGTCATTCACTTTTCTTATCTGGCATTGGCCTGAGAAAGAATGCAGGCTTGGTGCAGCAATGGTAGCACAGAGCCTGAGGCACCACAGTGTACAGGACATTGAGCAGCAAAAAGATAGGCTGGCTATCAGCAGGTACTCTATAGGAGAATGGTGTCCGTGTGTGAAGAGACGCACCAATATGAGAGAACTGGGCCTGTGAAGTGAAGCAGAGAGGGTAAAATGGGAAAGTGATAGTGATTAAAAGCTTTGCAGTTAGTATATTCACACTAACAGGAACATTGTCTTATTTTATCACATGCTCATAAAGATTTCACATATTTTTAGCAATATCTTGTAACAACAACATGATGATGGTGATGGCTCCCTGATATTTGAAAAAAGGAAACTCCTCTATTGGATTGAATTCTTTGTATTACCAAATAGAGTCTTACTGGAATTTTATGTGACAACCACTTCAATATGAAGGCAAAACAATATCTGATATATCTTTAAACAGCACTGCAATGTTTTGTGTAACGGTTGCTGTGCTTTTTTTCTAGGGTGATCCTTCCTCTTTGCAAGGACTTTGCTTGTTCACTGCCTACAATTATTAAGATGCCTTGTGCAGCAAACCTCCCTACAGTTGTGTGTTAGATACAGAGTAGATTGTTGTATTTTTCTCTCTGAGTAATCATGAGTGAAAGATTTACTAGTTTCTCAGAAGTCTCGTTCTCCTTCATTATGTAACTGTATCCCATTCTGATCTCATTTGTGTAGTTTGTTCACTTTTGTCAATTTGTATTTTTGTGTTAAACATTAGTGCAAAACTGTCAGAAAGAAAAAAAAACCCCATCAGATATAAAATCCTGCATGCTTGCTGAAAAAGTATGCTATTAAATTTCTTTTTGCCAACACTTGAAAACATCACACTGTTTTCATTTAACAGTTCATACAGAGGAAGAAATGAAATTAAACATGTAAAACAACAAAGTAAGCTTGGATTACTCCTTCAATAGACTGATGACCCATAAAGCCTGGACAAATTCTGACATTGCCACTCATCCTCAATCTAATAGACTCTTGCCAGTTATCTTTTCATAGGAAGTCACTGAAAAGAGACACATGACATGTCTCATAGCAACCACAGTTGGTGGAGCATCAGGTTTCCTATTTATAGCCTGGCCCAACAGCTGACATTTAAGTGAATACCATCAATACCACCATTCCCCTTGGTCTGAAGTCAGCTCCTGCCCTTATCACACTGGTGAGTGACATGCCAGCCTGCAGCTCAAACACAATAGCTGCTTTGTATTGTAGAGATGTGATTGGTGCACTATAGCTGCCCCCCTCACTTTTGGGGGTTTCCATCTTTAGATGTAAACAGATATATGTAGCTGGTTCCAACCATATCTGTTCATGCAGTGCCAGTGGTGGTTGGCTGCTCTGAAGAATAACCTGCAACCACTATACAGAGGAGGAACTTGGGAACAGCCTAGAGTTGGCCAGATGCCCACTCTCCGTCTATCACTACCTGGAACAATGTCATGTGAAAACACTTCACAAGAAAAATGTAAATAATGGAAACTACTCCAACATCTGAACAACTGACCTTGGCAACTGTTGAATCTGTACAGAAGGTTAGAAAGTAGTGGCTTGGTGTTTACTTCTCAGTATCTAAGTAATGTCTGGTAAGTTTAAAGACATCACCTATAGGCTTGGCTTCCTAGCTTAAATATAATTCTATTAAAATAGACATATATGCACTTTCAGGGAAGCCAATAGGTATATGAGAAACTATTTTGTTATCATTTTTAAAAATAAAATCACTCTCAAAACAAACAAATGCAAACCCTTACTGTATGCAAACAAAAACAATGACATCATAAAACACAATGAGGAAAAAGGCAAATAAAAACAAAATGGCAAGAACCAAAGGAAATATTAAAGTTTTTCAGAGGTTTTCATATTAAAATGTTTTAAGAAGAGAATTAAAACAAACCTCCATCAGCAGAGTTAACCAATGGAACATACCTGTGCCAGTGCTCCCGAGTGTACAAGAGTCAGCTCTGGCATCCACTCACATCCTGGGACCAACAACCCATAGAGAGTCATGATGTAGTATGGCCCAGAGTACAGCATGTTCACCAGCATCTGACAAAAATATATACAGTCCACTACTTCAGAGAGTGGTGTAATTACAATATATGATGAGGTTTTGGGATGTTCAATGTCCCTGAGTTACCTGTACTTTAGGATAGGCTGACGGGTCTTTAAGGTAGGGTTCATATTGTTGTGTGTAGTCTTGACAACATTTGCTGGAACAGTCCAGAACAATCTAAAACAAAAAGAGCTCAAAATGGAGGCACTCTAGTGTCTGCTGCTGTGTGTGTGCTTCAGGTAGCCGATTATGTCAGGCTCTCTTACCAGACCTCGGAAGATACAAAAAGCAAAAGCTGGGATGAGGTAGATAACAAACAGCAGGTCAAGAGGTCTGTGGAGCAAACTTTTTCTTTCATCCTCCTGGGTGCACTGACAGAGAGAAAACGACAGAATGACAACAATGGGATAGTGTAGTTAATACTTTCTTTGTATATATATCCTGTAATTCTGTACAGTGTTATATTCTAATTCTAAAATGTTTCAAAACTGCTCTGCACACTTAGCATTTCCTCATATACAAAAACTATTAATAGCTATATATGTTAAATTATAGTAAAATATTTATAAGAAAAACTGCCAGTTTTAAACCTGTCTTACTGTCAGCTGACGGTCCTGTTTGGAGGGCAGGCTGAAGATGCGGAAGCATGTCCAGACAGACACTGAAATATACAGCATGTGGAGGAGGAAGAGAGGGCCAATGTGGGTCCCATATTTCCCTGGGAAAAAACAGAATAAGATAATAGCTGACTGCAGGAAAGACAGAGATCAAAACATTAAATGTAGCAGTATTTATAGTAAATCCTAATCTACAAAAAACAGTCAAGTTTGGACCATTGTATTAATCTGGGAGGGAAGTACATGCACAGGGTCTACCCTACATTAGCCATCTAAAAACATCCCATTATTTTTTGTGTACTTACCCACAGCATTCCCAAGAATGTAGACTATGGTACGCATGAGAAAAGATCCCACCCAGTAGAGTCCAATGGCTCTGTAACTATCCCTGTGCAAACCATGCAACACTGCCATTATCAAAACCACATGAAAACATTGTACATCACTAGATAGATAGATAGATAGATAGAGAGATAGAGTGTAAACTTATTAGCGGGAAGAGGAACTAACTTTGTGACCAGTGCAGCACATACCCCCAAGTAATGGCTGCAATCATGAGCAGATACATGAGATAGTGCACACAGCCATCCCAATAGGAGATCATGTGCCCATGTGCTGTATTAATATGTGGAGCTGCCTGAAACACAGGGTAGATTTATCAATACGAATGTGTGGAAAAACATACAGGCAATTCAGAAACAGGATACACTTGCCTCTTTGAGGTAAAATGTCACAAATCCATCAATAATGTTGTCCTGCTCCAGACCAATGATCAGATTCACCACACTGAGGAATGCATACACTGCAAACACTAAACACACAGATGCATGCATTTAATTTTTAGTCTTGGGTCACAAACTGCAGCAAACACTTTTTAAAATATGTATATTTAACCCCACAAGACTTCATTCAAAGACTGCACAAGAAACATATCTGAGAATATATACCATAGAAAACGGGATCCACTGGAACCTTCTTCTTGAACATAAAACGCACTGAAATGGCCAATATGAGGACTGTTGTGCAGCCAGTGGAGAAGAAAGCTTCAGCACTAAGTACAATGTAAAAAGGTTATATTTTTTAAAGTCAGATTTTTTTCATATTATGCTAGTTAAAGCTCCACTGGTGACAATGATTTGACTTAACGTCCCAAAATTTAAAGATGTTTCTCACTCACCTGTTGTTGCAAATGAGGGAATTGAACAAATAGCACATGGGGATGGACATCAGGGAGAGTAAAAACACTCCCGTCCCCGCAGAAGCGCTCATTGCGAACCAGATTCGAACGATTTGTTTTGTCCAAGAATTAAGAATGTAAAATGATTCACCCGGAAAAAACTCTCGCGATTTGTCTGCAAGTCATAGCTATTTCAAGAAACGGGGTAAAAGTCACGGTGTGTAATTTAAACAACGCACAAATGTGCAGTTCAGCTTCTGCGCACATACTAGGTCTTGTTCTGGTCTCTCGCTCTCTCTCCCTCTCCCTTTCTCTCTCTCTCTGTCTCTCCCCCTCTCCTGCGCTGCCTAACATACAAACACTGACCTACACCTCCTTGTTTTCATCAGTTGTGGGGACTTTAAATGCACTTAGGTTAGGCCTATATTTCTTTCCTGGAGCCAGCGCTGCCAACTTATCGACTTTTAACACCCGTTTAGCGACTATTACTCAAAAAAGCGACTAGGGACAAATCTAGCGACTTTATGGAGAGAGTACTTCCTCTGGAGGAGAGTCGTTAGGACCGCCCGCGAAGTACTGCAGTCTTGCCAGACGAGGAGACGCCCCTCTCGGCTTCCGTTCAAGGTATACCTCGCTGTGGAGCGCGGAATGGGGCAAGGTCAGATGTCAGACTCTTACCTTATTAGGTCTCGGCGGCAATGAATTTCGGAACAGAAGGGGCACTATATTAGCGGCAAGGATAAAGGTCACTGTTCGTTCACTTAAAGTGGCCAAGGCAATACATTATAAAGTTATTACATTTAATCTTTAACAGTAGGCTGCTGCGGTTCCTTTATCTATTGTTTTACAGCCACAATGTATCATTGTGTTTCCATACAACCATCACACATAGGACATTTTAAACTTACCTTACGTTTAAAAAAACATATGAAGGTACCAGTGTGCATCAATTTGATAAATTGAATTAATAAGTTATAACCTTAAGACTTTGGAGATAAGGTCTCCGATTTTTCCCCTTTGTGAATACGGTGTGCTTCCATATCATTTAAATCTTTTGTGTGGAAAAAGTCATAGAAAAGTGGTCAGTTTTACTTATGAATGTGTTTTTGTGAATAGGTCTCAGGTGCAATCCGTTAAACACTATTTTCTAAAATGTTCTAATATTATATAACGTGAGCAGCTGGACGAAGCAGAGTCCATTATTAAAAAGCATGTGTGCGCCATGGATATAGTGACGCCACTGATGTGCAAATTAGTGCGTGGCGTGATATAGTAACACCTAGCGACATTTCCAGTGGGATTTAGTTACTTTCCATTTAAATTAGTTGGCAGGGCTGTCTGGAACCTTATCCTAACCTTAATCATAAATTGCCCAACCGTAATCCCTACCCTAATCTTAACCTTAATCTTAAAACAAGTCGTTACTCTGAAATTTAATGATTCATTTCGTGGGGACTGTTATAATTTTTCTTTTCGTTATTATCATCTATAAAATGCTATCAAGGTTTATAGTATACTGAAAGTGCATACACTGACATCTAGTGGATTTAATTTAGCAGTTCATTTTATAGTTCATTATATAGAATACTGGTTAATGTTTTTGATATAGTGTTCTCCAGTATGGTGAATATATCGAAACTGTTGCATAGGAATCTCAGTTTGTAATGTTTCGAGTAACTAAAGCTATCAAATAATTATAGGATAATGGAGTAAAAAGTAGCCTACAATATTTCTTGCAAAAATGTAGTCTAATAGAAGTAGAAATTAAAAGCAAGTAACTCAAGTAACGCAAATTTATACTTAATTACAGTTGTTTTAACGTCGATTTATTTCTTATTGTGTAAAATTGTACATTCATGAATGTAGATTTATTAATAACTACACATTTTGGTTAGGTAAAAGAGCATGTGGCATGGTGGGCTTGTAGTCCCACTATCACCACCTTATAAGACAGTCAAAACATTTGATGTTTCTAATCTCACGTCCTTACTTAGATTGTAATATCAGTTATTTCGTCTTTATTCAAACATTGCCCTTTGTTTGTAGACTTTCGTGTACATTGCTTTGCTCCTTCCCTCGTCATTTGTTTTTTGTTCATCTTGAGTGTAGCAATAAAGTTTACTGAAAAAAAGCCTGTTTGGGACAAAGTGTGCGGCTGCGTCATTCCTGTAGGGGCGCAAGCTATCAGGTAATGTGGCGTTATCTAAGCGTCAGAGAATGATGGCCTCTGTTGTGATGGAAGCTACGTAAATAAATCGCCTAACAGGTGTATGTTTGTGCGGCGTTAATATTTAACTGTAAAGCAGAATAAAAGTAGTCGTTCGTTATGGGGCCTGGAAGCGGTGGCAGCGGCTTGGTGT